TCTTTTAATCTAAAATCCAATTCCAAGCAGACCTCGTTTCGTTTGTTCGGTGTCGTAATACCAAACGACACTCGGAACTATTAATCACATCAACTGATTGAGAAATATGTATGCAGCGTACTAAAAGAGAGACGATACAATCGGCAAGGTCAATAGATTTAATTGATATTGCGTTTTTACGCTTTCAAACCACGGATAAATTATTCGAAACTTTTCTTAAAAAAAAAAAAAAAAAAAAAAGAGAAAAAACCCTCTTCAAGGCTGTACGATTTTACGATCTTCGAGATTCGATAATTCCCCTCTACGAAAATCTTCCATACAATCGCGTTTGTATGATTTTCAAATATCTCGTTAACTTTTTTTAAAAAAAAAAAAAAAAAAAAAGAGAAAAAACCCTCTTCAAGGCTGTACGATTTTACGATCTTCGAGATTCGATAATTCCCCTCTACGAAAATCTTCCATACAATCGCGTTTGTATGATTTTCAAATATCTCGTTTGCATACGATTTTTTCTACGGATTTATATCGATATTATTCTTAGGACTTTTGCCCGAAATCCAAGTTTCAATTGTAAAAATATTATTACGAAACGCGTGAACATTCACCTGTACCCCTGTATTTTGAACTCTTCTTAATACATTATATAAATTTGTCGATAATATCGCCACGGCATATTTCTTTCTGCCGAAATAAATAAGTGTTATCTCGATCCGTCCGCCACAGTCCATTTATTTTCCCTATTTTGCTTAAAAAGAAAATCCGGCAATCCCCTACAAATTCAACTTTGAATAGCGACTGATAGACAGACAGGACAAGGTTAAAACGGCGCCATAGCTCAGCCCTCTACTCTCTCGACTTCTCTGTACTCGCGAATACTCGAAAGAAACAGCCTTATGAGAGAGCGTTTCGTTGCCGAAGAAAGGCAAACGCTTTTCTGGTAAAGGCAGAATTATTTACGAGCGGGAGGATCGTTTTCTATATCGAAACGATCTCGTTCGCTGCATGTGCGTCGTTTACATTACCGCCATCGATAGTCGATCGGCGCACGTTCGCCAAAGCTCCGAAAAGAAATCCCGCCCACTCCTTATACCTTTCGTGTAAATAAAACGTGTCGATCGTAACTGGTTCGCGAACCGGTTCGCTGGTTCATAATAGATTCGCGATTCGAGCGGTTGGAATAAGCTGTTATCCGAGCCTCTTCGCTTTGAAAACGATTTAAACGTCTGTCGAATATATCCAGCTGCGAATCATCGCGAAATTCATATCGGAAACGTTACGTAACGCGTTATCAACGAATAACCGATGACACCGTTCGATTCGACCGGATCGTATTAGATTTCATGCTAGGCCGTTTATCAATCGGCTTATTATCTGCCTGAAAACTGACTGGCTCGATGTCGCACGTTGATAAAAAAAAAAAAAAAAAAAAAAAAAAGAAAAAAAAAACACACAACGTTGTCAACGACAGATCGTTCGAAAGATGATATCGCAGCTATTGATGTTCTTTCGAATTGATTTGCGTACATTTTTTTCTGACTTTTCTGCGTTTTCTTAAATTAGTCAGATATTGCATGGTATCTTAACGTTGGACGAAAAACATCGTCTTAACTCGTATTTCATTTTGTCAAATTTTCAAACTTTCGATCCGTAAAGTTCGCGAATATTGGAATTCTCGAATATTAGAATTCTCGAATTTTCCAATTTCTCGATTTTTAGTCTTCGGACTCGGTTCGAGCCTTGTGGCGTTTGAATTTTCAGATTTTATCACTGTTTCGTCGCTAATCGTTTAACGACGGTAGAGTTTGAAGCGTTGATTGTTCGCGAGCCGAAGAATCATTTGTTATACCTGTGTTGCGTTTTGCAAGCAAAGAATCTTTGGACAAATTACATCTCGAATGGAACGAGTAACGACGAGGGACCTCGACGAAAGTTCGCGTTAAAAATTCCAAATGAATACGATTAATACGATTAATAAGATATCGAGGAAAACGTTGACAACCTAATGACCCTGAAGAAACGGAGAAAAATGAGTGAACGATATATGGAAGTTTGTCAAAGCGTAGTAACGTGTGATTTATCGAGTCGTCTTATAGATTGGACGAACGAAATTACGTGAATTTAATTCCAACTGGATTGCGCGCTATAATCGTTAATACACTTCTAGTTTAGAGATATGATATTTACGAATTCATTGTGATAGGCATAGCACGATAATAAAATTAATTTCGTTATTGCAGAATGCAATCGTTAATATAGCCGAGAGATACAGTAATACAGTTTAGAGATACGGAATTTACGAACGCGTTGCGATAGCTTTACCACGATAATAAAATTAATTTCGATATTTCAAGTGGAAAAGATTGGAGACAAAAAAATACGATAAATTCGGACGAGCTACAAAGCGAGTAGTATTTTTAAGATTTCCATAAAACAAGGTAATTAATCAAACGTTGACGTACGTTTTAACGTTTACGACACGTTCGTGTTCCATTTTCATCATTTTCGAAACTTCGAACACCGAGGGAAATGAGGATTTATAGACGCAGGAATTATTCGAACAGCAAAAATTTCAAATCAAATTTATTACGAAAACCGTGCAGCGTAAAATTATACTTCGCGGATCGAGAGACAGGAATTACGAGAACAGAAACTCACGATCGCTATATATAAGACGGGATTTCATTTTTCAATGTATTTTCTAACCACCGAGTATCGTAAATGTCAGAAAATCGACAGAGACAAAAGTGCAGAGAGAAATTTAAAGATGCAAAACTACACTGGGTACATATGATACATAAAAATATACAAAATATCCCAAGTGGAATATCGATTATAATTTTTCTAATTTCTATTTCCTTAATTGTGCACGTAAAACTCTAAATTTGCTTAATGACCTACCGTTTGATCATTACATTTCCCAAATGTGTCCCAAAGGAACGTAATTGTTAACAAATCGAAGGGCAGTCAAAATGAAAAAAAAACGAATGTCGTGGCAGATATTTCGATACGTGAAGAAATAATCGAAAACGGTAACCTACATACGGTAATTGCAGTCGTTGATTATTCTACCATTTTTCAAAGAAAGAAGATTCGACGGTAGCATCAGAAACAATTCCATTTTCGTTTCAAATCGAACAGACTGCGTTTGCGAATAGCCACGTACGTTTAATTATCGTGTTGTTATCGGTCAGTGGAGAACGAAGAGACGGCGTATAGTGTACGATTTTCCATTTGTAACGAGAGAAAAAGCTCCGATACCGATCCGTTACCAGCGCGGTTTATCGAGTAGAACAATCCCGAACTGATCAGACCGTCTCTCTCGAACCGACACGTGCAATAGGCTAGGAATGGCGAGCACTGGGTCGCAGTGTCGCAGCACACCGTATGATGGAAAAGGTTGGCAAGTAGCGAGCTGAATGTCGAGACAGTCCAGCATTTTGCTAGCGCAACAGCGACGAGGTCAAGGTTAAAGATGTCTCGAAGATCCAACGACGTGACGCGGCTGGTTTAAGGTCGACTCTCGATTTTAAACCTGAACTCTCGCATTCCCTGACTCGATATAGACAGGTCGACGTAATTTCTCTGTATAACTAGGATTTTTCGCGCTTATTGTACTCTATAAGATATTTAACGTAATGGAGAGAAACGTTAAAGCGACACTCCGAATCCTGATATTTCCAATCGACTAAATGTTGTGCGTCTGATTCTCGTCGCGAAAAATAAACAGCTACGAGCGATGCGTTTCGTAAAACATTCTTACGAGCGTTTACCTCGAAACTGTTGGTATAATCGCCGAGGAAGCAAAAACAAAGCAGTGGAAGCCTACGTGCGTTCTCTCCTTTAAATCCAAAGGTCGGGTTTCGATCGTACCTCGTGACGTCGACATACGGTATACTCGGTCAATCTAACTTACCTATGCAACGTACAGCGACACTCGATATCCATTGGAAATTTAAGCGAACGATCGTCTAAAATTTATCGTTAATTTTCATTTGAAATGATCGGTCGAGACATAACTGATTAGACCACAACAAAGTTAAGCGAGCTCGTCTTCTATTTCTTCTATTTGCGAACGAAGCTACGAACGACGTGTGACCATCGGAAGATAAATAAAACAGTTGCTCGAAATAGTTGATAGTCGAGTAAAATTAATCAAACGATCGACCAAAATATAACTCATCTTCCAACTTGGTCTCTAACTGCACTCGCGGCATACGGTCTCCGAAAATTAAGCGAAACGATCACTCGAGATGCGAATATTTGTGCATGAACGAGACATTGAAATGTATAAAAATAGACAAAAGTATATAAAATAACGCAAATACGACTGCTCTCACAACGTCTATGAAATATAGCAAATCTCTCTCTTTCGTGTTATAGTCTTATTCGTAAAAATACATATGCAGCTCGTTAATCACAATTTCCTCATTATCGCGCGAGAGCATCAATCAAGAAACAATCGGTGGAAATCAAACAAAACACAACATCCCGCTACGCGTCTCCGATTCCCGCCATTTGCAAACAAAGCTGCACCCGCGGTCCGCAATTCAATATCCCATTCCGTCTATCCTTTATCCAGTCTGATTATCGATCATTCCAGCCGCATAGAATTCCAGTAATCCCTTTCAAACGCAATATTCGCAATGCGATGTCCGGGCCTCGACAGAGAGAGAGAGAGAGAGAGAAAAGGAGAGCGAAAGAGAAAGAGGGAGACGGCCGCGTTCAACAACAAACCTCGTCGAAGCTTTGGCTGCACGCATCGCACACCCAGTCGTCGTCATCGTCGTCGTCGTCGTCGTCGTCGTCGTCGCCGCCGCCGCCGCCGCGTGATACTATATCGGGGCGTCGCGACGCCTGCGCGGGTTCTCGCAACGATCAGCTGGCTGGAACCTGACCGACGAGGGGCAAGGAGACCTAACCAGAGGGAGACGGAACGATCGGATACCAGTGAGTCGAAGCGGGACAGCGCTATATAGGAGGAAGACGGGAGATATCGAATGGGCGAAAGTTAGAGAAAGAAGGATGGAAATGCGTGGAGTCTAGTGTCAGTAGCGACGTCGAGGGTGGCCTCGTCGGCAGCTACGCACGTTTTTGGCAACGTTCGTCGATGCCCATAACTCTGATCGTGGCAATGGTGTTGATCGTGTGCACGACGTCGACGTAGCTGCCGAGAGCCGGCGCGCGACTCGACGACTCCTTTTCGCGCAGTGCTGCCGTGACGGTCGATCGAAGCGCACCGCTGAAACCTGGGAATGCCACGCAACCTTCCATTTTAACGACTCCACGATGCATCTGCCCGGCTGCCACGTCGTCGTCCCGTGCCCTCCGTTCGAGTCTCCGGATGGTTATCTGAGTTACAGGAGGCTCGTGTATCGACAAGTACCAGCGTGAACCCTCCTACGCTGGCTGCCGCCCAGAAACTCGTCCGAACCAGCGGTATATCCACCCTGTGGTTTCCTAGCTCGTTCGCGAACAGTACCGTATCTACCTTTTGGAAATTGTTCTCGTTGAATTAGAATATCTCGAGTCTCGTTGACGAATGACGACAGCAAGGTAGAAGGAACGTTCTACTATCGCAAGAGGGACAGAGTCGACCAAAGAAGCCTGTTTCCAGTGAAGTATTTTTCCGATTATATCGTTAGTAAAGTGATCAGGCGAATCTGTGCGCTCGATCGATCGTAATCGCAAGGCCGTTGCTTGTGCAAGGAACATAAACACGATGGTTAAGTAGTGGAGGCTCGATAAGGGCTGCTCGAGTGCCTGATCACCCCCTGGTCTGGTTCTGTTGCAGCTGCGTACCGAGAACACTCTCTCTTCTTCGTCGATAACCAACCAATAAACGGCGGGGAGAGCACGCTCGCGAGGCAGAAGCAGCGTCGGACCCGCGGTAAGTACCAAAACAAATATGCCGCCGCGGACCTCCGCTCCTTTTTTCCGCTGGAACGAAAATGGATCTCGATTTTGCCCGACGTCTAGGTCGCTCTACTACGCCTCTCTCTCTCTGTGTCTCTCTGTTCTTCGCTGTACTCCAAAGGGTTCGTTGACACTGTGGCTAGGAAATCGACTTTGGAACTCGTTGGCCGCCGAAAAAGGTCACCGACGATACAAATATAGAAACGTGGTGGAACGAGGCCGACAGTGGAGCAATATCGAAGAGGAGAAGGGAAGCGCGGCTGTTTAAGGATCCCTGCCGTGTCTCGTTTGTGAATCGATAGGAATTTTTCTCCTCTGTTAAGCGGAATCTCTAACGAATCGTCCTGATATACGGAAGAATCTTGAGAATCTCATGTGTGTTTAGGAAAACAGTTCGAAGAAGTTGTTGTTGCTATCGCGAACCGTGTGTACAACGAGTGATAGAAAACAGAATCTGAGAGTAAATGCCTGCCATAGAAGCAATAAGCGAGCCTGGCTCGTTTAATCTGCAACTTCAATAAATAGAACTACCGTAGAAATCGGACCTACTGCTGAGGGTGTGAAACGATCGTCTTCCACGTGTGATACAATACGATACAGTCTCCTCGAACGATTCTTAAACGATCATCGTTTAGGAAACGGAATAATAGAATAATTGCGAAATAATCTTGCGTCGAGTACACAAACGAATAAGTAAATAAATAAACGAAATCTTGGACGTTGAATAAATAAATAATTCTTAAAGACTCGGAAGATTATACCGTGAGAGCAAAACTCGTGGTAGAAAAAAGCACGAGAAGGGTGCAGTGAGGTAGATACACGAGGGTGCACTCCCTTCGAACAGCGGGAGCCATTGAAACTAAGGTTTCTCGAGGTCGGAGGTCTCTGATGGTACAGAGGGTGACTCAGTACCGGTGGACGAGCGCGAAAAATCAGCGCGGTCCCCGTAACCAAGATCGGCATCATAGTCGTCGAGTAACATCGTCATGGCTCCACGTATCGTCATCTCGACGATGATCGCGTTTGCGTTGATCCTTGCTTGCTGGTCTGCTCAAGGTCACGCGGGTTTAGCGAGGTTCTACGAGTCCGTGCCCGATCTACAACCGGACAGACGAATTCCTAACAACGACTACGCGATTCACGGACCGATCGTCGACGATCATGAGTTCCCTCGAGATCTCAGGGAGCCTTATCCAGGCAAGAGTTTCGGTCCCATGGGTCCTATCGATGGTTCGTTGCCCGATGACGTATCTTTTCGAAGTTTGGCCTCCGGACAAGAGGAAGCAGCCAATTCCATGGAACATTTGTCGTCGAATCAGGCGATGGAAGGGCACGAAGATGAATCTAAGCCTAGCAAACCGGAGTATAAGATCATGTCTGTGGAGTTTCATCGGGTCGAGACACCGTTTATCATTGGAATCTGGATCTTCTTCGCGAGTCTCGCGAAAATAGGTACGGAATGCGTGGAGCTTGAACTTGGTTCAGGCATTGATTGTTTGTTAGTTTCGTTGGTAGCCGCTGTGCGGTCGACTCTTGTCGCTGCCGCGTGGTAATTTCGGTAAACCGATGGCTTTCGACCCTCGTTCGGCGAATTCGATGCTGGAATTTTGAGACGTAATGGAGGAGTCGAGATGTTTAATTATTTGTAGCGATTCGTGATAACACTTTGGTTTAGTTATCGTGGCAGAGTTTGACGAATGTATTATGCGTGTTATGCAAGCTTTTAAACTTTCATTTCTGCTCTCACGAAGCACGATTATATTGACAAAGTTTGGCAATCGATCTGAACTTATACGCATATATAGTTATCCTCACTCGTGTTCGGATTTCACAGTATCTTCGAATTTATAGTTTTGTACACGAAATAAAAAGACGAACGTTTAGCTGTAAAATTTCTTTCAATATCGATAATAATTTGATTAAATGTACAATTAAATAGATTAATATCGTATTATACATATGGATTTGAAATGAAAAGGAGAAACATTAATTTTAGTTGCGTGTAGAACGATCGTATGGAACGTAGAAGCTAGATAACGTTAAACGCAAACACAAACTTGGTAAAAAATTAGTATACAGTGTGGAGATATTGCCTTACAAATTTTCCATAAATGTGTCATAGCTTTTAGTTTTCCAATTTGTCTCAGTACTATCATAATAATCGTGTCGTTACAATATTAATGAAACTTTGATATTCTTTGCATGATGCACGTAGTATTATACGTAAGAGGTTCTTGCGATAAGTATTCAAATACTTCCGTGAATCACTCTAAGTGTCGAAAGTGGAGATTTTCAGTATGAATGAGATATACTGGTTTAAAGTCGACGCTCTATTTTAATAGTTCTAAAACCTAATGAATTCTTCAATGAATTATTCTAGCACTTGCGATGTTTAACGTTGTATTCGGTATAGCGTTTAATCCCTTAACCTACGATTTACTTTCGAGAATTTTGGGCCGAAAACGTAAAAAAGCTATTATACAGGGTGGATGGTAGCTGGTGGTACAAAGGGAAAGGGGGTGATTCTGCGCGAAAAAAGAAGTCGAAAATATAGAATACAAATTTTTCGTTCGAGGCTTTGTTTTCGAGAAAATCGACTTCGAATTTTCGCTCGGTACGCGTGCACTTTATCGCGTCTCGTTACAACGGATCTCACTGTAGATCGTTGTCTCGATTGACGTTATTTTTTAAATTATTAAAATTTTTAAATTTTTAAATTTTTAAATTTTTAAATTTTCAAATTTTTAAATGTTTAAATTTTTAAATTTTTAAATTTTTAAATGTTTAAATTTTTAAATTTTTAAATTTTTAAATGTTTAAATTTTTAAATTTTTAAATTTTTAAATGTTTAAATTTTTAAATTTTTAAATTTTTAAATGTTTAAATTTTTAAATTTTTAAATTTTTAAATGTTTAAATTTTTAAATTTTTAAATTTTTAAATGTTTAAATTTTTAAATTTTTAAATTTTTAAATGTTTAAATTTTTAAATTTTTAAATTTTTAAATGTTTAAATTTTTAAATTTTTAAATTTTTAAATGTTTAAATTTTTAAATTTTTAAATTTTTAAATGTTTAAATTTTTAAATTTTTAAATTTTTAAATGTTTAAATTTTTAAATTTTTAAATTTTTAAATGTTTAAATTTTTAAATTTTTAAATTTTTAAATTTTTAAATGTTTAAATTTTTAAATTTTTAAATGTTTAAATTTTTAAATTGTTATTCTATATTTTCGACTTCTGTTCCTTTCCGCTTGTACCACCAGTGACCAACCACCCTGTATATTATATTTGGCCCGATCATCGTACTACGGGCTATGCCCGTAATGTTTACGTTTGGTCCGATCGTCGTACTACGGGCTATGCCCGTAGTTGTAGGTTAAGGGGTTAAATTCTACTAAAAAAAGAGTGACTTTTTATCCCATTTGCATCTACATCGTTTATCGTTCGAATTCCACAATTAACATTTTATTGTTGTTCGTTTAAGAAATCGTCGTTCTTACTTTTTACGACAATATTGGGATTTGTTGTTGAATTCACATTGTGTTTGGTTGGTTGGGAAGATAAGAGATAATATTTTACGAAATGATTACTTGGAAATTTCGAACAGAATTATCGGAAATATTGAAAATTATCGAGGTAGAAACATTCGACCGATTCTTAATCCGATTTATTTGATTATATGCTTCTCTGTGTGTCGGTTTTTGTATTTATTAAGCGCTTCGAATCGCATTTTGCTTTCAATCGCTTGGAAAATTCAAACTCGAGAAAATAATCTTCATAATACGTTTTGCGTTCTCAGTTTACATTTTTGCTAGAAAATCGTTTCAGTATTTCTTCTTTCTTGTCTGAGAAATAATAATTATTAGGATTCATAGTAAATATTCGAAGAAATTTCTTTATTATGCTTTAAATATTCAAAAAGGTTCCGTTATAATATTTAGCATTATCTACTATTAATTTACTTACTCTAATAATTTGAACATTATTTAATATTAATTTCGTTGCTCGAATAATTTAGTATTATTTATTGTTAATCGTATTATTTTAATAATTTTTTAATTATTACTTTTATTATTATCAAATAATTTTGCATTATCACGGTATTATTTCGGTGAAATAAATCTCTGTTTAATTTCTAGAATTATATTTACAAAAAGTCGGAATTGCATAAACATCTGCAGTCTACTAATTAATAGTCTCAATTATTCGAATTATAATTGTAACCATTATGAAACTAGTCGATTGTCTCATAGTTTATTTCCACCTACTAAACATTAATCTCTGAATATTACCTACTCTGTTATATAAATGATTATTGAATATTAGACTCGCATTAAGCTCTATAAATAAGGCTGCATTGTGTTGCATTCTATCGTGTTCGAGTTAATGTAAAACGTTTCCATTTCGAAGAGGGACGATATAATATAACCATGTCGATAATACAGTGGTCAGACAACTCGATGTAACAACTACGAACCAAAGGTTCGAATAACGAGGGTTCTACTTGTTTCTCGGTAATATCGATCCCGTTTGCACCATGCTCCTGAACTACTGTACTGCCCGTACACAATCAGGCTTTTTATAGATTCAACACATCTTACAAAAATAACAGCCAATATCGCGTCTCCCTCCCTTCTGTTCGACGACACAATTTGCAAAATATCGTCGCGTGTCTATCTCTTATAGGAGAGCAATTTCAAAATTCTAATACCATGTGAAAGAGATCGCATTATTGCGACAGAAACGTTCGGGTCATATCCGAATTGATAATTCTAGTAGAATTCGATCGTTAAACGATATTCACAAAATGCTCGTTATCTCGCAATGACCTGGTCGATACCAAAACCGAAGACAAGAGGACTAGTTCCGTGATAAGCTGCAACAGGCGGTTTAAAAACCGGTCCAAGTACAGCGTTCGTCGAACGAGCGTTAATAATAAAACGTTCGCGTGCTACCACTACGATCTACCAACGAAACGATTTTTCGCGATTCTACGTTTCCGCCGCATTCCCCGTTCTATTAATACACCTACGTGCAATATTATTCATAACTGTTCGAACACGAAAAACACGCGTCTTTCGCGTTATGAAAATTATAATCTAAAAGATGTTTATCACTGTTAACGTAAATAATTCTTTATTGGAACAACGAGTACTATTTTCATGAGTCTTATTATATGCCGTGGATTCAAATTATTCCAACAACGTCCACCGATCATCGATATCGTTCGAATAATTGCAACGCTGTGAATCATAGTGACATAAGTCGATCCACAGCTACTTTTGATAAAATAGTGTTCGTTGTTTATTATTGTCGAAAATTCGTCGTACCTTCTCAAGCCCGGAAAAGTGCATCGCGTTCGAGAATAAAGTTACAGCTTGTTAATTAATTACGAAACCAAAGGGACGATACTTTCGAAAGTTAAAATACGCGACGAAGTTCGAGTCGCCGATATCTTGACCTACACCACTGCGATTTTCGCGTCGTTCAGTTATCACGGGTGATAATGTACGTAAAAGCGAGGCCGTGTTAAATTATGATCGCGTACGTGCAGGCTTCCACATGACGTCAAAGCTGAGCAAGATCTTTCCGGAGTCCTGTTTGCTGATCGTTGTCGGCGTCGTCGTTGGTGTCTTACTGTTCCAGGCGAGCAGCGTCCACGTGTCACCCTTAACTCCCGACACGTTCTTCCTCTACATGCTACCGCCCATCATCCTGGATGCCGGCTATTTCATGCCGAACCGACTATTCTTCGACCATCTGGGAACGATACTCCTGTTCGCCGTCATTGGGACTATATTTAACACCTTGTCGATAGGTTAGTAAAAATTCAAAACTATTACGAAGTAGCGGAAAGTAACGCCGTAAAATTTCATTTCAACGTTGTTTGCTCACCGATTCATTCGATTTTCCGCTATTAACGTATCAAATTTTTAACAATCGCCGTGTTTCGCGTAATTCATTGCACTGCTTGCTCTTCGCCTGCGATAGGAATCATTTCGTTTAGAATATCTTCGATATCGTAATATCTTTTAGTTGTACGTCAGACTTTCGTCTCATTTTAGTCAATTTATATTAGAAAATTTTCTTTTCGTCAAATTATGACTATGGAAAGAACGAGAATTCCAGCAATTTTCTTAATATCTTCTATATAAATACCATTATAAATTATTTCATTGAATAATAAAATTGATAAATATCGACAAACGTTGGATCATAAATTTTATGATACTTGGAGGAAATGAAATATTTCTAGCGGATTACGATACGCGTTATCCTTTATAAACCATGACAAAATTTGTTTTATGTCTCTAATTTATAAGACGAGCTTCCAGAAGGGATCTATCGTTCTAGTAGGTTTTTTTATTTTATTATTCTAATATTATGTTCCCATTATCCCAATACAAATCACAGTGAATCGACTAAAATTTAAGATCCACTCTTCGAGATTACGCAAACAAGATACGCTCTTCTCTATATATTTTTTTAGGTTTTCTCTCTTGCTAATGTAGCTTTTCGGTTACATCGATCTACGACCTCCACGATATTTTTTTATTTTCGTTTCGCCTCTTCCACGTGGATACGGGTTCTGATGATTTGAACAGACGTGGACGTTTTTCAATGTAAACTGAGATAGATGGCGCTTTTTAAAAACAGTAGCGAAGCGTTTCTTCTTCTTCTTCTTTTTTTCTTTTTTTTTTTTTCTTAAGAATTCACGTTCAGGACGTAAATATTTATTTCCTCCCGTGTTACGTTGTTTTTACGCTAGTTATGCCTTTTACGTTTCTACCTCTGTTTATTTTTTACCAATCACGTGTTGAGTGCACGAGAGTAATTGTGCAGCAGGTGTTCAAACTACTTGTGAGATTATCGATGCTGGTCCAGAAATACTTCTTTCTCAAACATTGGCAGCGTTCGATGCGATAGAATCGCGCAAGGGCACTTTACGGAGTTAATTAGACCTCGTAATGGAATAAAAGATTCGTTGTTGATTAAACGATAAACTCGAGCGATATTCACTGACGGCAACGTATAAGTACTTTTACGTCGCTTGAACGATTTGAACGCATTTTCAATGGTCCTAATGTAACTATCAGGTACAGAAATCGTCCAATTAATATTATTCTTTACTTTATATCGCGCGTATATGTAAATGTTTCTTAAGATATTCCGTAGTACAAAAATAGCTGAACGCGTTTAAAAGTTAGTGCAAATCGTCTTTTGATGGATCTCGAAGAGATCGCTTTAAATCTCACTCTGTTTATTTCTGAAATGAAACATAGTTTTTTATATTATTCTAGAGATTTTGTTTTTCCAACTATTTTTAGATAGAACGGAAAGCTTTTCGAAGAAAAATACGATATAACGTTTAATACGAATCTAGAAATTTTAGTTGTCAATTAATTCTACGTACGACGGCGAATGAAAATGTAAATACATTTTTTAATTAATCTGAAAATATTTTTTTAATAATTCCTAGTAAAGCCTATTAAAACACGTGGAAAATATATGAAATAAAAGCTCTTTCGTTCGCGGTTTAGTTTTTCACGGAATTAATTTCGAAAATTTCCACGTATACGCTGAACCGTGCACCCGCTTCACTCGACGTTTATAAATATCGTAATAATCAAAATCGGCCTTCCACCTTGTCTATAACGACTAGAGAAAATTTTAAGGGAAACGTTCTTTTCTTATTAAAAAAAGAACATCGAAGCCCATCCTACAGCGTACTTTAAAATCTATTAATATCCAAAACTCACACTAACGCTCACAGTCGCCAGTTACAAACATTCGTAGCATGTATTCTTTTTAAATATTAACTCAACATTTCGTATTTTCATGCCAGCTGTCCGTTTCGCGCGTTCACCCTTTCGCAAAGTTCAACCACGCGCTTCGCAACCACCCATACAAACACAGAAACTCGTGCACGCGAACGTCTAGGTGTATCGAGTGTGGAAACGCGCGAATGTCGAACGCGCCCACGCGATTTCTGCTTACGACGCAACGTGTTCGCGAACGTGCGACGTTTCTTCGTTACGAAACGTCCGCAACTCGCTCGATGTCCACGATAATTAAAGACTCCGCGAGAACGCGACATTCGTGGAACCGGTGATCCGCGTTTGTTATTAATATCGATGAATAAACGCCGCTAACGCGAGGACGGTCCTTGCCAAAAAATTTTCGTACCGACGATTTTTACCTTGGACCACGGATCGATCTTTTTCTTGTATCGAGTTACCGATTGGTCCGATTACGCGTTTGGGTTCGAAACGTGTCGCTTAGAACTTGGAATTTGCACAGGACGAGATATAACACAGTACGGAAACGCACAGGACAGAAACAGTTATGACATTGGTGTATTGAGAATAGCGAGATATATAATAAAAAGCTGGAAATGTTATTTCACACACGAAGTATTAAAAAATACTGGATAAAGGTTTACATGAAAATTTAATAAAGCGATGGAGATTCTGGTTTTATATTTTATTACGAAGCGAAACAACTTTGTTACCGGGTTGCTATGATGCTGATTGAGTGAATTCATCTGTGGACATATACGTAGTTTCGATGTAACATTTTTATATTTTACCATTTGTATATCGATATATGTGTTCCAATTTTACAAAATTGCGCTTTCTATATTTGAAGTTTAAACCGAGCAGTATTACATGATATATAATCATTATCTAACGACGATCAACTGGATGTAAAGGAGATAGGGGCAGACGATTAAATATAACGAATGGTTACGACATTTTAACTTTCCATTAAATTTGTAATTAAATTAATAAAAAGGAATGTGGAACATTCCCCCCTAAACACCTACGTTCATCGCGAACACGAAGAAATGAAGTTTACATTCACCATTGATTCCGATTGAATTTCATTAAAAACTAATTACATTTGTAGAATACTTCATAATACGAAACAGTTGAACGAGCTTCAAAATGAATCGTTTTACCAATTATTGAAAATCCAGAAACTCGAGTTTCGACCTTTTAATAAACTACTGCTGAAAATTTCAATCGCTTGCATTTCAATGGCGTTTAAACTGTCATCTTAATTATGGTTGGATTAAACTAAAATTTGACTAAAATGGTTGATTTTTAATATTCTTATTTTTTTTTTTTTTTTTTTTTTTTTTTTTTTTTTTTTGTAAATTGTTTATAGGAGCTTCGTTGTGGGTGTTAGGTAAGAGCGGCCTGTTCGGTTTCGAAACTCCGCTGTTGCAAATGTTCCTGTTCTCCGCGTTGATCAGCGCCGTCGATCCTGTCGCCGTGCTAGCGGTCTTCGAGGAAATTCACGTGAACGAAATCTTGTACATCGTCGTATTCGGGGAGAGCTTGTTGAACGACGCTGTCACCGTCGTAAGTACCGTTTATGTTCATCTTACAGGGCTTAACTACCTTTAATGTTGTACTAGTTCCGAGGATCTTTACGCATACCTGATTCATCGCAATTACGCTGCGCGTGTATATGCATTTCTGACGAGTACAATGCGGATGCCCGTGCATTTTTGAGAAGCTTAGGCCTGGAAAATTGTACACAGTGACATATAAAAATATATAAAATATCTAAATATTATATGTAACAATATATAAAATATACAAGGCGGTGATATCTAACAGAAGAAACGAATTCCTATCTAAGATGAATTTTTCTAGTTATATTCATGACCAATGTTATACAGGGTGGTTGGTAACTGGTGCTACAAGCGGAAAGGGGGTGATTCTACGCGAAAAGAGAAGTCGAAAATATAGAATAAAAATTTAAAAATTTAAAAATTTAAAAATTTTTTAAATTTAAAAAATAACGTCAATCGAGACAACGATCTACAGTGAGACCCGTTATAACGAGACGCGATAAAGTGCACGCGTACCGAGCGAAGATTCAAAGTCGATTTTCTCGAAAACAGAGCCTCGAAGGAAAAATGTTTATTCTATATTTTCGACTTCTTTTTTCGCGTAGAATCGCCCCCTTTCCGCTTGTATCACAAGTTACCAACCACCCTGTATAAACATTATTTTCTAATTATAATACGAAACTGCATAAACATTTGTAGTCTAACAACGAGTATAAACATACAAAGTTTACAAGGATAAGAATAAACGTATAAAATATCACAAGTGAAACACGCTTTAACCCTTTGCACTCGGAATTTTATTTCAATTTCCTTATCAGCAGCTCTCAACGCTTTTAAGCGTTTTATTTGAAATTTACTTTAACCAAAACGCCAGTTAACACCAGTTTTATTCACACTATCGTTGTATTTTCTAATTTTTAAGTGTACGACATATCTCGAAACAATTTCTAGGACGCAATCCTGCTTTTCTTTCGCACGTTTCACAAAAAAGGGTGGGACTGAAAGAACGTCGAGTGAGACTCGACAAAGGAGTTGCTGAGATAAAAACTGATGTCGAGTCACACTCGACATGGCAGTGCAAAGGGTTAAGATACTCGTACGTAACATATTACATATATGTTGTTTAATCCCAGACTATAGATATATTAGTTTATCAACTTTCATCGATCGTTCGTTGATCAAAGTAACATCCTATTACCGCATGAATCGATCAAATGAGAGCCTACTATAACTCACATTGTACCTTCATTCGTCCTTCCACCTTAACGCTAGTACTACCACGCCAGTCAACGATAATTAAAAGAATAATATAATGAATTGTATTTTGTTTTCTATGTATTCAAACCCGAAATAATTTTGTACCAAGGCTACTTATACCAATAGCAGTCAAAACGACTTGTCAAAGTGTGAAAGGATCCTGCAATCTGTTTATCGAACCCCAATTAACCAGTTTCCTCGTTTTCTACAACCTCCCGATATCATTCGATATGATGATATCAGTTATCAGGAAAATAGCCAGATGCTAACGCTAGAAATATCACAGCAGTCAAAATGGCAGGTTCTACGATATTATAAATTTATCAACCCCCGTTTAGGCATCCCAGATGGATTAAAAATACCAAAAATCTGCTACATAACATGGAATTGCTTCTGTGAGAAAGTAACAAATCAATAAATATAAAAATATTCTATTACTACGTATTTTTTAAAGACCAGTCATTTTCACTGGTTTTAGTAGAAAGAGCTTCGTGCTAACTATCGGTAGTTCTAGTGTTAAGATACGAAATTAAACATCGGCGCTAATAACATTGCACACACCATTAAACGCTGGTAAAATCTCCCAAGAAATAGTCGAAGAACGTGATGTAACGACATTTCTTCGCAGAAAGTCGGTAAATAAAAGTTCGAACGTAATCTTAGCCCAGATCAGAAAGTCCCTGACTTATAACCTTATCTTGGAACGGTACTTACATCATTTAAAGATTACTCGACCTCACGTGTCCTCCATTTCATAGACTCGGCTTCATATATCCGAAGAATTCTTATCTACTCGATGGCATCTCGTGCAGTCGTTTAATCGGACGAACAGCTGAATAAGTTGTGGTTGTTTAATGATACGCAGGTACTGTACCACATGTTCGAGGCGTACAACGAGATAGGACCAACGGAAATACTCTACACGGACGTACTGTCAGGATTTGCTTCGTTCTTCGTGGTGGCGATCGGCGGCACGATAATAGGAGTGATATGGGGTATCGCAACTGGATTCGTTACGAGGTTCACTCATCAGGTTCGCGTGATCGAGCCCATCTTCATATTCGTCATGGCTTACCTGGCCTACCTAAACGCTGAGATTTTTCACATGTCCAGCATTCTGGCGTAAGTTAACCCATCTACTTCTGCAAGCTCTTTGGCCAGTTGTCGCAATGCAAACAGGCAGAATATTTAAAGGCAACGCGTAAATTCGTTATACGTACGTTATCGTCGTCGTTCGATGATATCGATCGAAGATTTGGCAAAATTGAAAACGAATTGTCATTTGTCTTTGACGTCTATCGAAGAAGCTTCTTAGTTGTTTCTGTGTACACTCGAACGTTTAGCTTTTTCTATTAAGAAAACTATGGATGATTATTATTGTCCAGATTGCTATACTTTTTACGCGAATGAAATTATTAGCAGACTCGTAACAAATGAGCATACGATTTTCCGAAAGGTCAGTTTACCATGAAAACAGAGAAGAACATATGCAAATTTCTCCACTGTGTTTCCCTTGTTTACATCGATAAAACCAAATAGGCCGCACGTGGCCACCGCGACCTAGAAATTCGCAGCACGAGCATAGCTCATTCCTCGACACGCTCTCGACCTGCGGTAAATTCCAAAAAGGACCTTCCAGTTCTCACGCGAATCGTTACCTCTACAAGGTGTCTCGTTACAAACTGCTAATACGATTCGACACGGAATGATTCTGCGTAGAAAGTTAAATCGAAGGTATGAAACGAAATTTTTGAAAATCTGTCCAATACGCGCGTATAGGGTTTGATACGATCAAACTGTGTTTTCTCGAAAACAACGATTTAAACGAACGAATTTCATGTTTCGTACGTTTCGCTTGTCTTATTTCACACGCGTAGAATAAAGTAATCTCCCGTCGATTATCCTTCTTCTTGCCAGCTGAAAGCCAACCAGGTTCGCGTATACGTTTCCGACAAAATTTCCAAACGCAATTTTCCCAAAAGCCGTGCTCCGTATGAGAAAATGTTCTTGTATAGTCTCGGTTTATTTTTCACGTAGGATCGCGCTGTACGTGGTTTTATACGTTGTCAATTACAAAACACCCTGTATATCGAGCGAAGCGTGCACATTTTGCGTCATGTAGAAACGTAACGATTTCGACACGCCTTCCAGCAACCTCGCAGAAACTGTTCGTTAAACGACGAAGTGAAAATAGCACATTTTTCCCACCGTTGTATCATGCAAAATGCGGAACGTGTCGCGAAAGAAAGAAAAAAGATCGAACGAAAGCGCGGCGCGTTCTCGTGATCGTCGATTTGTTCGATAATTCTCTCAAGGCTGGTCTTAATGTTAAAAAACGAAAGGGTAAGAAGAAATGGTCGTCGTAAATAGCGGAAAGCTTTACGACAACGACGCGATTCTAGTTAAGTCTATTATTTACACGTTTCTCTAGCGAAATCGATGATCGATCTCGATATAAAGAATGCTCGCTGTACGATAACTGTTCAAATATGCTTAACCCGTAATCGCTCGGTTCTTGTTCCGCTTACCGTGATTTTTCTTCATACGATTAAACAGAGCCTCCTTTTGTGCTTGATTGACAAACAGACGGCTTTTGAATATACGACCGATGGTCGTGATACGATTACAAACCGACGGTTTGTTTATTTAAAAACGTTTAAGACGTGCGAATATTTGGACAGCGAAGCGAATTCGACGAGAATCGTTCGTTTAACTGCTTTTACGACTTTTTATTCTTTTCTTCTTTCTTTCAATTTTGCTCCGGGGAAAATATGATCAAGAATTCTTGACTAGAATTTTAATGATGCTACTAGTCCTTCAGACCGTTTTAGATCAATCGAGAATTGATCGGATGTAATCAATGTCGATTGTACGTATTATTTATCATACCGCGAAAAGAACGAAACCTTCGCCTTCTAAATTACTTTCGACGTTTCGTTCCAACTAATTCATATTCGATAACCTATTATTATTCACGATTGGATTATATCTTTGTATTTTTGTAGCCAATAACCCATCGATCTTAATGTATTTCGATTGAACTCGATACGAAACAACGTATTCTGTACTCCAAAAAAAAGAAAGAAATGGAGCAAACTAAACAATTCTCTATGGTGTTAATTCTACAGGGTGGTTGGTAACTGGTGGTACAAGCGGAAAGGGGGTGATTCTACGCGAAAAAAGAAGTCGAAAATATAGAATAAAAATTGTTCGTTCGACGCTTTGTTTTCGAGAAAATCGACTTTGAATTTAGGCTCGGTACGCGTGCACTTTATCGCGTCTCGTTACAACGGATCTCACTGTAGATCGTTGTCTCGGTGGATATTATCGCAGTTTAAGTTTGTTTTTGCCGTAACGGAGAACATAATGAAATAATATGAAGTAATCATAAAGTTTATTACTACAAAAATTGCTGAAAATGTTGCCCGTTCTGCCAAACCGCGCCGACAGATCAGAAACGTAAGATGACAACTGTAATAGAAGACTCGAAACTTGCAAATTCGAAAATCAAACTCCTAAATTCCCTTAGCCCAATTTAGCGAACGATTCGCAGATCCAGTCTACGAGCCATCTAAATGTACGTAGACAGACGTAGGCACGAATTTGCAGGGGTTGTGGAGCGGTCACGTCCCTGTCGTAAATCGAATCGACGTCATTGGGCCGTAGCCCGTCGATTTCGTAAACCCCTCGGATCGTATACGTTCGAATTAATTTCGACGACGTTTGGGAAACTGGCCGAATGGCGATCGATACGCGGCTATCCTAACGTCTCTCGAACCACCCCTCTACGTGTCGTCCACCCTCGTCGATTAACCGTGACCTCTGTATGTCGTAGGATCACCTTCTGCGGCATCACAATGAAGAATTACGTGGAGGCGAATATCTCGCACAAATCGCACACAACCGTCAAATACACGATGAAGATGTTGTCAAGCAGCTCGGAAACCATCATATTTATGTTCCTCGGAGTCGCTACGGTGAACAACCGTCACGACTGGAACACGTGGTTCGTCGTCATGACCATCGTATTCTGCTCGGTTTATCGAATCGTTGGTGAGTAATGTCAAGGTCGATGCTGTATCCTATACGATGACCACACACAAGGGTAGAATATAAGTTGTAAGATACGCTCACGAACGTATTGCGACATATTTTTCACTTCTATCCGCCTCTGTTCGCCAAATATACCGATAGAATCTCGTTATTATTTATGGCGGTCTAAACTTAAGGGGGTATTCTGGTCTAGAGGCATGAATTTCGGGAGATTTTCGAAGCTCTGTACGAGCGAAACAACAAATATTTTTGCTATCCTTCTTTTTAGAAACTTTTTAGAAACGAAAGAAACTTTTCGCACAATAATATATTTCAACGTTTTTGCGGCTCACAGGGCAAAATACATCAAATTCACGTGGCAGTCAACGCGTTCTAGTACTTTAAAAGCCCGTAAAAGTTGGTTGGAGCAATTCGTTCCCGAGAAAGACGAAAGATCTTTCGAGAAAATATTCGTCGAGTTATTATACGTGGTAAAAAAATGAACTCTCCAGTCGAACCTTTCTTAGCTCTCGTTACGAATCTTCGTGTCGTGTATGTGCCTAACTCTCGCGACAGTAATCTGGTCACGTGACTCCAGCTATCGAGCTGCACGATTCGAATTTGACACAGACAGAAAGAGAAAGAGAGATAGAGAAAGTTGTTAATGCTATCAAGAGATAAAGGAGTCTTAAGCTAAACCGATCATGGCTTATCGAGTGTCACTTACTTAGAGAATGGTTACGCGGCCGTGCCAAGAATAAAGCGTTTCTCGTGTTTTGCTATTTGTCTTTTTGCGGAATATCGATCCGGACTGGAGGGAAACTTGGCATGAAACTAAGCATTGTTTCTTGTTTTCTGGTGTAATTTGGATGGCAGAAGGAGCGAAGATTAGGGTGGAATATGTGCTTCGGACGGTGCCCTGTTTTAGGTGGATGATCGCTCATCTGGTGTATTAACCTCTTAAGAGATCACAAAGTTCAGGATCATAGTACAACGTCTCTTCTTATCGTATTATTTTATTATGCTTATAAAATGGTGTTAAAAATTACTTTTTGGAAAGAATTTTATTCTCGTATTTATCGTAGAGGAAATTAGACGCGCGAAGATGATACACGAGACGAATAACGTTAAGAAATAGTTGAAAAAGCTTGAGAAAAATAATCGACATCATTTTTGGTCATTAGATCAGACGGAAGATTCAAGAGCATTTTAAATGTACCAGTATCTCGCGGAAGGTTAATAGATTAAAAAATGAAGCGAAAAGAGTAGTTGGAAGATAGAAAAAGTTAAAAAATTAGGAAATATAAAATTGTATGTTACAACCCCTATGTATAATAATTTATCTCCGTTGCCCGCAATCTCGATTATCCAAATAGCCAATCCCGAAAATTGATATTGGCCATTAGACAAACGGAGAGAATAATCTTGAAGAAGCACGAATTTTTCTGATCTATCCCTTCCCTTAAGACGCGAAATATATCGAAAGACACTTAACGAGATTCGTCTAGCTCCTTCCACAACCGGCAGTTTACATCACGGATTACTGTCACGAGCTTACGGCTTCCTGTTCCATCGACGGTTTATCGCCAAATCGTCAGCCAGCGGCGACACTTAAAAAATTCATCGCTGTCTCTATAGATATACCTTGGCAATATTCTGCTTTCCATCATCTACAGCCCGGTATTTCCTTTTCCCTCTTGACTCTTCTTTTTTTTATTTTGCGAAATAAAAGATGCGATTAACCGCAGCTTTTTATTCCCGGATAAAGTATGTAAGCTACTGCTCGTTCTTTAAAAAACGTTGCAATTAAATACAGATTTTCGTTGTCCTATAAGAAATGGGAACTAACGTCTATTTCGATTAAAAATATATTCGATCACAGTGTATACGTCGACTAAAAAAGTGCGAACAACTAATTGTTGTAAATAGAAATTTTCTTTTCCCTTTTCCATTACGACTAATCACAGGCCTTCGTTGTCGGCTGGAAAATGGAAATTTGTATTTATCGCGAATATATTTCCCATTTACAGAAAGGGCTTGCAATTGCTCGTAGTTGCGACGTTACGTACAAATTGGAAATTAATGATTTCTTTGCACGGAAATTTTTTTGATCGTCGAAAAAATTCCAATTAACTGCGTTTCTTCGTTGACGCGCGAGATACGAAGAGAAATTTTTTGGATGCAAATTTTTTCATTCACGGATGCAACGATACGAAGACAAAATTCTTTACGCGCCAAAGACAATTATCGTAAATAGAAATTTTCTCTTTCCTACGGTTAAACATAGCTTTCTTCCGGTGTTACGTCAAAGTGTACAAGTTAATAATTATTGGAAACAGACGTAGAACTCACGACGTATAAATAGACACGTGATTAGCTTTTGAGTCAGATCTGTAGAGGATTATCAGCGACGAAATGGGCAAACGCATTGAGTCAGACTGAAATCGAATTTCAGGCGTGATCTTACTGACAGCCTTGGCTAATCAATTTCGACTGCACAAGCTGAACAAGGTGGAGAAGTTCGTGATGTCTTACGGTGGCTTACGAGGTGCTGTAGCGTTTGCTCTGGTCCTGCTGATCGACCCAAAGCACGTGTCCTTGCAGCCAATGTTCGTCACCACTACGATAGCAGTCATCTACTTCACGGTGTTCATACAGGTAAGACAACGATAACACGATCAATCAAGTAACCTCGCAGTACGATAACGAATAGACCGAGGGAAATCAAATATTACGGTTTATGCCTCGGCAAACAATTCGTATCTCGACTGCCATAATATTAGAGACTATGGTTAATCTGGCCTGTTAGAAAAATAAAAGGGAATAATTCATTTTTACAGATTATAAACTACTTTCGAATAAAATATAGAGTATACGAATAGCTTAATATGGATTCATAGATGGATATCAGCAAAATCGAGAAGATCGATTAATTATTTCTTTTAGTAAAAAAATATTACAACGAAATTTATATCGATACTTTTTTCAAATTTTCGATAAAGGAAACGTAATTAGTTTAAAAGTCACTTTTACTATTCCAGCTACCCGTTTTTAATTAAAACGCGTATTTAGTAAAAATTCGTCCCACGTCTATAGCTTTGAAACAAAGTTACCATTCGATACAAATAATATAGAAATATCTGGAATTAAATACTTAATATCTGCTCGTGTCAGATGGCGAACAAAATTTCTTTAATAGAAAGAACGATCGATCGAACATTCACGAGGAAGATAAATCGCGATCGTTATCGTATTTGCTTTTATTACTACAGATATCAACGTTATTAACAATAAGCTAGCGATACGACCAAGTATTACTGGTAATACTGATATTTCCATACTCTTCAGGTTTCCCTCTGACCGTCAATGATTACAATATTAAAATCCCGCAACCGCTTTGTAACGTTAAATATCACGAAATCTCTTAATTCAGAGGTAGTCTTTACAATTAACTATACTACGCGTGACGAAATGACGCTGTTAACGTCATTCTAAGCCCTTAGATATTGTCAGAGTTGGGAAATTAAATAGAAAGGATGGAAGCAAGCGAGCCTTCGAGTTCGAGTCAGAGCGTTTTCTTGTGTTTCGAGTGGTGGAATAACTCGGCGAACTTTTCACGGATATTTGCCTTAAAAGAAGACATTTAAGCAAATAGTTGAGATTTGTGCATTACGTTCTTTTCATCTCCGTTGCGAGCATTGTTACGCGCAGTTTCCATCGAGTACTACGGCCTCGGTTATGCTTGCTTTTACGTTTGCCATTATAACTTCATGCTGCCTCTCCTTTTTGCGTCTTTCGTTTGGATTGTCCCAATACATCCCAGAATTGTTTCGTAGACAACAGTTGTTTGAACCAATGAGGTTCAACGTTACTTTCCCGCGTGGTCTCGTATCATTTGCGTAAAACTTTAAATTAAACTTTACCGTAATCTAACGCACGGTACGCTCGAATGTGTTTTCGTTATGTTACGTTTTAATACGAAGTTATTCCGTGGAGTTATTTAACTCGGCAGGATATTCCAGTCACGTTGAATTTGACGAAAAAATAGTTCGCCTCGTAAAATTTCAGCTACGAAGAATTTACAAGCGATTTATATTTGAAAACAGAGTTAATCGTTAATGACATAATAAACAGTGAAATATACCCCGTACGTTGGCAGCTCGACAGCCATAATTTTCTACGAGATATAATTTCTGCTTGTCGGGAGAAGAGAAATCTGATTAACTAATTTTAATATTCTCACTTGTAATTATCGTAATCCAGTAGCTTGTGTACATTACTTTGTTATTTTATTAATTCTTATACAATAGGCTCCTCTCTCATTCAAATTTTCTCGTTCTTTCCTTAATATGTTAAAAGCTAGTAGTATTTTATAATATCGCGAGCTTTGTTATTCCTTTGCAAAGTTCAAGATTGATTTTTAAGATGTTGTAGCTTGGGTGACACAAATAACCCACCCTACCTGTGCCATACGAAGAGATAACAATAAAGAAAGGTTGCTCGATTCAGGACAGAACGACGCGATAGTAGGAACACCCCCTACCTCTAAATCAACATTTCACCCCGAGAGCCCGTTGTTCGTGAGAAGTAAACTTTGAGAAATGTTGATTCAGACTCGAGAACCATTCATTGGCTCGGCTGGGCCGAAGCCATTCTTACGAATTTTCTCGATTCCCTTTGATTCTAATATACCGGGTATATCGATAGGTGGACCAAAGTTTCTCGGAAATGAATGATTTTTCGAAACTCTGGAAGGTTCCGGCATTAATAATTATTGGAGCACGCAGGTTAAAAGGTTCCAAGGAAGAAGAAACTTAAATGGCTTTTACCTCTAAGTATTTAAGATGACAGCTTTTAAGGTCTCTTCTCGTTTGTAAAATTAAAAAGCGGTTTAGATAAAAAAAGAAAAAAAAAAACGTTCAGGAAATAAAGTTACGTAAGACGAAATGAAATTTCTTCGTCTTTCAGCATTAATCATACTAATTTCTAAAATTAGTGCTATCTAAAATATTCATAGATATTCGACCAGAGAAAGAACTCATATATAAATTATTCCAAGACATTTATTAAAAATAGAAGAAGATTATACGAAGGAAAGAACACAATTTCCTTTATTTCACTAAACCAAGATATATGGAAAGAATGAAAGGAAATATACAAACGTAGCTGAAACATTTATATTCGATTTGATCGTTGCTCGTGGAAACTACCTAAATAACGTTCCGTAAAAGGCTAGCAGCGATGCGACGTATGGGAATTCATACGCTGGAACCTGTTATCACAGTTTGTACTACTAAGTATACGCGTTAACCGGGAAATACGCGAACATTCGCTACTTGTCTCGGTCATTTTGTCATTACAGACAACTACTATCGAACTGTCGAGTTTTGCTCGACTCGTGCGACTTTACGACGATCACTGCACACCGTCTAGTGAACGCAAACATACTGCGTTATAATATATCCGATCGTAATATCGGTGTATGCGTGAACATACCACGTGGAGGAAATTCCCTTTTTTTCTTTTATACTGCATGTGTGCACGCATGTATACATAGGATACATCGAAAATCAAGGTACGATCCGAAGGGAGGAGATCGCTGGAAGCTTGGAAATTTGTCAAAATTAAAATTATGCTCTCTTCCTGTACTTCTTATCTTATAAACTTTCTTCTGTCTGTATACCTGACGAATCTTCGATCTTCTCGAGAACGAAGCTGTAAACGAAACAATTACATTCTGTATTTTATTATTTATCTTGGCATTTAGTATAACATATGTTTTTCAGAAATATCGCATGATAAACCTAATGGCAAAATTTTAGACTTAACTGATCATTATAATATCAATATTAATATAAAATAATTGAGCGTTATAATATTTCCTATCATAATATCGATATATGCGTGAACATACCACGTGGAGGAAATTCCTTTTTTGTTTTTCTTTTATACTACATGTGTGCACGCATGTATACAAAGGGTACATCGAAAATCAAGGTACGAGCCGAAGGGAGGAGATCGCTGGAAGCTTGGAAATTTGTCAAAATTAAAATTATGCTCTCTTCCTGTACTTCTTATCTTATAAACTTTCTTCTGTCTGTATACCTGACGAATCTTCGATCTTCTCGAGAACGAAGCTGTAAACGAAACAATTACATTCTGTATTTTATTATTTATCTTGGCATTTAGTATAACATATGTTTTTCAGAAATATCGCATGATGAACCTAATGACAAAATTTTAGACGTAACCGATCATTAGACAAATACTTTCTACGCCTACTGTAAGCGAGACGTTCTTTTGTCCGCCATTGTATGTGCAAGAAATTCGACGATGTCTTCTCCAGCGTTACCTTAGAAATTTTACAATGTCTCCGGCATTTCTCGTGTAAGTTATCGCGCTATGCAAAAGGATCGTGCCGGATATCGCGGAGCATGCCGTCGATATCGAATTTCCGATCGACTGCACGACAAAGTCGATGGTGTTTCTAGACTTAATGGAGGCCCAGAGCGGTAGTTCCGCGGAGGTCGCAAACAGGACGCGCCTTCAGGATGAAAGGAGCATGTTTTTCTATCTAGTCGTTTTTTGCTCGAGGCGCTTTAACCGTTGCAGTTTAATTACATCGCTATTCTATTTGGCCACGCTTCTTTTAAACTCGATTTAATTCATCAGCGAAGAAATTCGACGAAATTAAAGCGAATAACTATGTACGAAGTGTTAATAAATTGCATTGGATTTTCCCACCCAGTCTCGCGATATTTTTGTCCCAAAACACGCGCAAAAATACGATCTCTATATTACAATTATTCGTATCGAGTTATCTCTTCGTTTAAATTAATTTACTCAAATACAAATATTTCCCAAAACTTCTTCTATTTCTTAATATGTACTGTGTTTCTTCCCATTAAAGAAATTTACGTAAAAATCAGAATAAATAATGTATTTAATAAAGAAATGGTATTTATGGCAGATAAATATGGACACCTCGATCGATTGTCAACTCTTCTCCATCGACCAATACGGTCAATTCCTTTCTTCGTCGATTATTCCATTTAATGTCCAATATCTGACAAATAGAAACATTTATCTAAATACATCATCTACTTCTTTCGCAGAAGTTTCTAATAAATAGCCTAATCTTGAAAAATTTTCCAAACTTTTCCAACAACAACTTTGTATAGAATAAAATTAACGATGGAATATCGAATGAAATTCATATCCCTGAATTACAAGTCTCTCGTTAATCTTCGATATCTTCCCTCTGATAATCTTCCTGCATCTTTCACCTTTTAAACTTTTTAAACCTTCTTCCCCGTGATCCACCGGAGTAAAGAACCGCCTGTCAATTCGTACCGACCTATAATGCGTTCGAATATAATACGCGCAATCACTATGCTTTAGTAGCGCAGATTTATAATAGAGCCAGGCAATCGATGAGCATCGACATAGAGAAAGGTCATCGTCGATCGCGTATTTATAACGCAGCTAACAAAAAGGCACGCTGCACGCGTTTAAATTCTATATACAAGGTGTATGAAAAATTGTGACACGAGGGTGGTTGCTCGTATAGAATTAAGTGAAAGATCTAGACAAAAGTTTCGTCATACGGAGCTTCATTTCCGAGAAAATCGAATTTGCAAGTTTTTCGAATACGCGTGAACTTGGTTTAACTGCCAAGATTCTAAGGACAATTCGCATGAAAGATCGACGGAAGAGTATTCCATAGACAATGGCGGATAAAAGAAAGTTCACTCATTTATAAAAAAAAGTAAATTTGCTACAAGAAAGTATTAGTATGGTGATCGATTACGATTAGAAAGTTTATTGACATTTGTAAAAGGTACATATGTTATTTCAGGAATATTTGCTCTATAATTCGTGTCACTATACGTCTCTGCATGCATTTTAACGCGACGTAGAATATGCAAGAAAAAGAGATGCACTCAAATATGTGCGAGAAGTCTTCAGGGACTTTGAAAGCTTCCGAAAGAAACAACCCTTGGGTAATAATAATCTTTGCAGCGTGTTTTCCTTTGATATCTTGATTGTATCGTCGTAACATAATGATAATATTTAGGTGATTATTTTTACATGGAACGCCCTAAATATATTATATTTATTCGTTGCTTTCGTTAAACGTTATTCCATTTTGTAATTCAGTGACGTTTACTCGTTAAACTTCCTTTCGTTCGCCACTGTAAATCAATGGAAAGTAACGTCAACTGTTAACTGTGGAAGCACGAATACCACCATGCACGATGTATAAATATCGATAATATGCAAATATTGGAATCTAAATATTAAATAGACGGATTGAACGATTAATTTAAAGTTAGACTCGCAACTATTCATTTCCTTGCTAATTATGTGAATAGATTCGTAGATATAAAAGCTTGTTATATTATAATAAATCATGATTCCTAATTTTATCTTCCTTTAAATAGAAATAACGCGTCGCGAGCGGATAACTATAATACATTGGGAATACTAAAAAGATATGGCGAGGGTTATTTCGACTCCACCCTGCCAGTTAAACGACGACCCTTTAACCCTTTGCACTCGGAATTTTATTTCCATTTCGTTACCAGCAGCTCCCAACGCTCTTAAGTGTTTCATTCGAAATTTACTTTAACTAAAAACTAAGACAATTTAAATAAACAAAGGAAGAAAGAAATTCGCTTAAATACCAGTTTTATTCACGCCATCGTTGTATTTTCTAATTTTTAAGTGTACGATATTTCTCGAAACAATTTCCAGGACGCAATCCTGCTTTTCTTTCGCGCGTTTAGCAAGAAAGGTGGGCCTGAAAGAATGTCGAGTGGGACTCGACAAAGGAGCTGCTGAGATAAAAACTGACGTCGAGTCACATAGCAGTGTCAGGGGTTAATCAGCCATCGGTGTAATATCGCATCTGGCGGTGTATTCAAATTCTCTGAAAACGTGTCTAAAGTAATACGCATAATTGCGCGATAAAATATTTGGCGATTTAAATTTGTAATTGCAACCACAAGAAGATATCACAGAAATAGGTACAATTGGGCGCAATACAAAAATCACCGTTCTTCTTCTATTTCTACATTTGAATCTTCAATTTAACATTAGTGTTCTCTTTCTGCATTTAAATTTCGTCGTTTAGAGCCGCACATTTGAATCTAATATTCTTCCGCGATATCCCTAAATTTAAATCTTCTTTCTGATGTTCTTTTTCTGTTTCTACGTGTAGATCGTCTACCTGATACTCGTATACACTTACAATCAGTTACAGTAGTATCCAGTCACCTGAATATTTTATATTCGGCGCTTAAAATATCATTTTTCGATCTACTCTATCTTCGACCTATCCATCGCGTTACAATAACGTAATGAAAATGGTATGTTACCTTCAAACTTCCTCTTTATCATTTTATAATTCTACGTAAAGTATACCAATCGCTCAACCTTCGAATCGATATCTCGCTGACAAACAGTATCGGTCTAAATTCTAGCTCGACCTAATCTAATCTGCATTTGCCAACCGACAATTTAATATCGCTCTTTGTGTCAATGAGTGAATTTTACAACGAGTCTATTAGAGAAAGATCCACTATGAGAAATTCTATTTCCAGGGAATCACGATCAAGCCGCTCGTAAAAATCCTGAACGTGAAACGGGCAGAGAAGAAGAAACCTACCATGAACGAGAGGATCCACGAACGGGTAAGTTGTTCGTTGTCTTCTACTATTTGTATTTGCCTGGAAAAAAAGAAACGTCCGAGACCGGTGATCAGCCATAACGAGCGAAGTGCCACGCTTTGCGATCGATGGCTTAATAAAAAAGTAGCGAGAGAGTACGTTGCGTCGGGGAAACAGAGTGGCGAACGAAGAGCGGCGCGTTGTATAAATTATAGAGGACGCGTGGTTATACGCCCTTATCGTTCGTGCAAATATTAAGAAAGAGCAGCGAGCCACGATACACGGGAAAATCAATAATCGTTCGTTGGCCGATGTGTACGAGAAGACTGCACTGATTTTCACCGGTAGCCATATTTTCGTAAACGAACGCTGCTGCAGGAAAAGAGCAATTTCCTACGCTTCGTTTTACCTTTGCCACGCGTAGTATTCGTAATAAATTTTTACGCGTATACCGTGCGCGTTAATGCGAAGTATTTTGAAATTTCATTGGCGCTGTAATGATCGTACGTATTGGCAAAATTTGAAGCTAGTCCGATAGTATACAGGATTTTTCGTTCATCTTGTCCGCTACCGCCGCGAATCCTGTACACAGGTGACCATAAATGATATTCCTATTCCAAACGAAAGTTCAGTCAGATATCTGGACACGATAGTGGACAGAGGAATGACATGGAAACGACACATCGTAGATAAATCCAAACAACTTGAATCAAAATTTAAAAAATTCTACTGGCTCACTGGCAGACGTTCCAACTTGAGCGTGCAGAGTAAAATAATGCTATATAAGGCAATATTAAAACCTGTTTGGACCTATGGGATCCAACTATGGGGAACAGCGAGTAATTCCAATAGAGAAATTTCAATCGAAAACTTGAAGATCCTTAATAGATGCACCTTGGTATGTTACCAACGAAACGATACATCGCGACCTTGAGATATATCCAAATTCAGTAACAGATATAACGCAAGAGTTAACAACCACCAAAACTCATCGGTTACTCAATTACTTGACACGACGGATCAGATCCGTGGGCTAAAAAGACATTATCCTCTAGATTTAAACATTAGATTCAGCTAGAATCAAACATACGAAATAATTCACTTATAATTCTCGATGAGAATTGATCGTAAAATTCTTCCAAAAAAAAAAAAAAATCTTGTCCGCTATGTCAGGAAGATGTACGAGGAAAAAGTTCTTTGGCGAATATCGTGATTAATGATTTTTTTCCCCGTCCAAGGTCGTTCTTTTCGACTTTAACCGAATACGGAAACTAAGAAATATCGTAGATAATTACTCGTTTAATAATTCTTCTTATCTGTGGAAAATGCACGCTCGTACCAATTGTGTTGTAACTAAATGTACACATTTTCAGAATCGTTTAAAATTTTGCCAATATAACGACGATAGTTGGATGTTGTTACGGTGTTGATGAACTTTCAGAATGTTTCGTATAACAGAAAATGTGGACAAATGTGGGAATGTTTTCGTAAACCGGTGTTGAAATATCTTGCTGGATAAGGGAAAATAACAAGCGCGTGATAAATCCGGCGGAGTAAAGGAAAATGGCATCTCCGTTTTACAGATAATGGACCACGTGATGGCTGGGGTCGAGGACATTTTGGGCAAGCACGGCAATTACCATGTTCGAGACAAGTATGCATAATTTCTGAATATATTACGTTGTATAACGAATATCATTGCAGGCTAAAGAATAACATGAAATTACGCTTTTTATTGCCGTAATTCAAAGTAAGCACCGGCTCGATTGATTTCAATTTCAAAGTAAAATCTGGCCTTCTTTTTCCGTGTTTTGAAACGATTTAACCGAATCGACGCTCGTCAAGTCGAACATCTTTGTAAACTGTTTTCAAAATATCGTTAAGTCGTCGAATGAAACGATAGACCGTAGTCTTTTACAAACATACGAGTTACGAATGAAAATAACCGTGGAATGTTTTTTTCGTCATAAAGTAACCGTAATATAAGATGTTGTTGAAAAATGACATTTATCATGCAACAAACTAGCGTTTAACGTTCGTTAACATCGAAGATAACATTTTCTCTGGCGTTTGCGTTCTTTCGGCCACTGATTCTTCTCATACGTTGAAAAACACGAACAAAGTTTATTGACTTTTCTCTCCCCTAGTAGGATGACTCACGAGTTGTTGAAGATGGTGATGCGGGATGCAGATGATCCTGATCACCAGAGTACATTCACCATCATAAATTATTTACTACGGTTTCACGATGGACAAGAAGTTTCCTAATCTTTTTCGGAAACGTGAAAAGAATTTCTTATATATTTACTTCCTAAATATTTAGAATAATTTCAAAATGACGTTCCGATAATCGAGATTCCACAATTACTGTGACATATTCATTTTAAATTCCAAGTAGAAGAGAAACGACCCTATTTTGAGAAATATCGTAAAAATCAAACTCCAACATATCTATATTAACGACGTACTTTGAGAATGATTTTTTTTAATTTATTAATTCTTTGATCTCGTAATCTGACATTTCATCTTTAAATATTCGTTCCTCGTTTCGTCATCTTGTTTCTTTCTTTTGTTTCACAGATTCAAGCGGTTCGATAATAAATTCGTTCGTCCGTACCTAGTGAGGGATCACTGTGGCGCGGAACCGAAAATATTGGAAACGTACTCGAAACTCGCGATGAAAGACGCTTTGGATTACATTAGAAGGAACGCGTCCACCATCGGCAATATCAGCGGAACTGAAAGCATGTCCGCGATATTCCGCAACTATAGCAACACAGGACAGTTCAATGGAAGGTAGGGCTTCGTTCTTTTCTTCCCTCCACTCTTCGTTTCTCTTTCCATTCTTCCCAATCGTTGGCACACTGAGTTATCTTCGTTCGTACCTGACCTGTTTACTTGCACAATAAGGAGCACGATGAATGCTTCTTTGATCGTAACAGATGTGTACGCCATCCCTTTGTCTCCCTGGTGAAAATGTATTAATTATCGAGGAAAGTTTTCCCGGTGAAACAGAAGAAATCGTTGCGAACGAAATTTCTTTGAGCTCCATCCACCTCGCAGTCCAACGCTTTGTTTCCGTTAGTTCGGTGTCACAAAAAATTGACAATGGAGTTAAAATATTCCTTTTTACCTTTAACATCTTTTTATGAATCAAGACACGCGACGATTTGATTTTCTTACTTGTCAACCTGGAAACCGGTTAAACAAGTAATTTCTATTACCGTAAAAATCCTATTCATCGTATTAACGGAAAAGTATCAAATATAGAGACGTACATTCTGGTTGATCGTAAAAATATCGCTTTCTTATCGACTATTTCGTTTAAATTATGATCAATCGGTCGTGCAACCTTCGTACCTTTACAATGTAGTACCTTCGAATGTCTTGTAAAACATAGATGAAAGTTTCTTTTCTTCCTTGCATTACGTACATTGTCTTATACCTTTCGTTTTAATCTCTTCGGTAGAAGCTTTATACACTTTCATACTTTTATCGTCGACAACACTGTTAACGAAAAAGAAACAGGAGAAGCAATTTCTATTATTGTAAAAGTCCCGTCACATCGGTGAGATGGAAAGGACACGACGCGAAGTATCTTTCCATCCGGTGCCAATGTCCTGTTATATGCTGCAGCGTTACAAAACGCCGTAGGGTGTCGATGACTGCCTGCATGACTCACCACGGGGTGAGTATACGGATACACCCTGGCCAAGGAGCATAACCGAAGATAAGTCTGCATTGTATCTCGATTGAACGGTGGACCCTCCTCGAAACACAGTATCGATCTTGAAGTGGCAGCCCGTCATAAAAATGTAGTCTCGTTCTTTCTCCTTCCAGTCCGAGTTGCAGCCAGCTTGAAGCGGGCTGGAATATTGATCTCCAAGAACTGGAGTACAACCCTTCCAAGAAGGACTTGACGGACGCCAGGATCCACCACCTATTGGCCGAAGAACTTTGCAAGCCATACAAGAGGGTAAGAAACACACTTTTTGCTGAGTATTCAAATTTTTATGTGTGTGTGTGTATATATATATATATATATATATACCATATATATATATATATGGTACATATCGTGTATGCACGTCTCTGAAAACCTTGCTGACGAGGACTGATTTTTTTTCTTCGAAGGATAATCGTATCGCTGCTTGGAACTTCAGCTGTCGATTTTATCCTTTAGTTATATTACGTAATGGTATTATGCGAGACTTAAAAGACAAGTGGTACGAGTGGCGAGATCCTGCAATTTGAGAAAATTGCAGCTTCGAAAGTTTCAGATTCCGGAAGACTTAGTCTTCGTCAATTGCGAAGCTTTTCGAGAAAGCCGAGCATAAGACAAAATGAATAGAATAAATTGTATTGGGAATTTCTATTGTTATTTTTCAACGTTAGCCACGTCAGAATTTAGATAGTCTGAATTTCATTTCGTTCTTCTCGCGTTTAGAAATAAAAATTTCATAGTTGTTTATAATTTTCGTGAAACGGAATATTAATACTTGAGATGAACATTAAAATTTCATATACAGGGTGATTGGTAACTGGTGGTACAAGCGGAAAGGGGGTGATTCTACGCGAAAAAAGAAATCGAAAATATAGAATAAAAATGTTTCGTTCGAGGCTTTGTTCTCGAGAAAATCGACTTTGAATTTTCGCTCGGTACGCGCGCACTTTATCGCGTCTCGTTACAACGGATCTCACTGTAGATCGTTGTCTCGATTGACGTTA